ACAGGGTCGTCCCAATATGCGTTTTTGCAATTTGCATATAGGCAAAAACGCATAAAAACGACCGCGTTTCATCATGTTCCTGGAGAACCACTCTGTCCTATAATGCAACACTTTCATCCCGCTCGACATTATTTCCCCTGCATGCTAGAAGAGGCCAAAACACTGCCAATAGGAGCCCAGGTGTTAGACAACAGAACAGGGATCATTCCTGCTATTAGCGATCTGCGAGTTTAGTTCAAAAACGCATGATCGCACCGGCACGCCTGGTGCGCTCCAGCTTGGGTTTTGTTTTTATGAGAATGCAGTAGCATGGCGGAATACGAACCCCTCGTTCATCTAGTTAGGTAGCAAATTCCGATTTACTCCGCGAGCCGAAATAAAAGTATTCGTGAGCCGTCGGTTGCCTGCCTGTGCAACAGTTTCTCAGGAAATGTTGTCTATTAAAATTTGTAGGCAGCCAGCACATCACTGCTACCATCGGAACTGGGAGCTTCGCCAATGGCGACAAGTGCTTTTTATTATGGACGATTCCTACAATATCACTCCATGTCGAACGGTCATACACTCGCAAACATATCTGTTAGTTCTGCACGCAATTCTTGAGCCTTCAGCCTATCTGCCTATTTGCGTGCTTAGAAACTCATCTACCTCCTAACTGCCTGCTTCATTACTTGCTTGCCCAATTGCTTCTTTATCTCCCCCCTCCCCTCGTCTCCACTCGATCCCCCTCCCCCCCATTTCCGCCACATCTTCCATCCGACACACTCCCTTCAAATTTAAAACTAATTATATTTACCTCTCTAATAAGTAAATGAGTCACTAAAAGATGACTTTTTCAAATGGTACTTATTTATTTAGCAAACAAATATAATTACTTTTTGCATATTTACATTTATTTCTTCCCCAGAAAAGCTATTTAATTTATTTTAGGGCATTTTCTCAGTTCGTCAATGGCTATCTAACAACCCTATGTGTCCTGATCGGCACAGTTGGTAATGTGCACAGCATTCGTTCAATTCACGCCAGCAACTTGGACAAAAATCGAGGTAAAGCACGTTTGTTCGAAAATTTATCGTCCTTTACTAACACTGCATTCAAATACTTAAAAGGCATGACCTTCAGTTTCTTTTAGGGAGTGTATTACATTTTTTTTTTTTTTGAAAATGCGAACTCGCACGGCTTACTTCGTAACAAGTAAGGAGTTAGGTCATCTTAGTTTTTCTTTCACCTTGCTTCCCTTTTTTTCACCCCCGTCTCGACAACTACTTTAATTTCAGCATTTGTTTCGTAAGCTTTTCACGCAGCTATTTTTATGCGTTCTGCATATTTATGCAAATGCAGCCCAGGCCGCAACTCGTCAAGCTTGCAGAGCGATCATACATCGTTCGTTAAACTTGAAGCACTTGGATTGTTAACAGCATATAAAAGGGCCTAAACTGAGATTTTTCCAAAGCCTGCACAGGGCAGAACAAGCTTCAGAACCTGATTTTTCTAAACGCTGTTGCTCAATCCAACTTGCTTTGCTGATCTGATGCAAGTATTTCAGGTGTGGTACTAGCCGTATCAATACTGTCACTAGCAGTATGGGATACGGTGTTGCTGTGGTGTGCCTTCTTCTATTATGGTATCAACGCTTTAGTCCGCTCTAGTGACATCGACTTCATGAAGCTGTTAACACCCTGGTTTCACGGCTTTTCCCAAGTAGCTAACACGGCATCCGTACGTTTTGATACTTTTTGTGTGACTTGGAAGCAGGACTTATTACGGACCTTTCGAACTAGCTAAAATTGTTTTAATACAGGGTCCCACTTTCTTACTGTCAAATACTATTTTCATTGATGTCGCGTGCTGCGGTTTAAATAATCTCTATCCCCAATTTCTCTGACTTTCTCTACGTATACATATGCATTCCTAGTTATTCTTGCCTTTTACAACAGCTCGACTGAGCCTGGGAAGCCGCCGATATTACTGACGCGCAACCACTCGCATACTGCTTATTTCAGATTTTTACAGCACCTTATTGTGTACGCAAATTGAGACAGTAACGTAATTCTTCTTACAGATTTGGTGCATGGTTATGATAACTATTCAGCGATTTATGGCCAGCAGAGATCCGTTCAGGAAAAGTAGGTGAGCTCTAAAATGCGTATAAGCACTTGTGCTGGTTCTCTCTGCTCCATTATAATGTTTGTCCGATAAAATCAGTATTTCTCATACCGTTTCCTACGTAGAGCATTTTTCTAATTGTACAGTACAATTATTTTATCGTTTTTTGGGGGTTTTTGCACATATGCAAATTGCAAAAACGCATATTGGGAAGAAGCTGTGCGTGTGTCTGTCTGTCTGTCTGCGCGTTCGCACTTTTTGTCATCCACTTTCAACTTGAGAACAAGGAAAGCTAAAGAACTGAAACTTTGGGAGTATGTGCTCATACGACGCGTGACCTTCTCGTTTTAATTTCATTCCCCGCGGACGCCTGGATGCTGTGTACGGACGCTTTAAAAAAATATGTAAATTTTGGAGAAAGCGATCTCGGGAGTCACACGAGCTAAGGAACTGGAAATTTGTAGGGGTATCCCCTGTGCATGTAATAGCTAAACATTTCAAATTTAACTCCCAGATATCCGTGGTACTCACGCAAATGCGTATGAAAGTTTTAGCGGAAACGTTGTTAACTCGGGTACCGGGAAAGCTGAAAAGCTGAAATTTTGGGGTAATGTTCCTTGTTGAAGTACAACTCAAATATTTCAAATTCAGCCCCAAGCTATGTGTGTTACTCAATTAGGGGCATATAAAAGTTTCTGCGGGAAAGTTACTAACTCGGCAATCAGAAAAGCTGGAAGGCTGAAATTTTAGGGGGATGTTCCCTATCCAAGTACAAATTGAGTTTTTCAAATTCAATCTTGAGTGATGCGTGGTTCTTACGTACGGGCGCTTAAAAGTTTTGGCGGAAAAATTTATCACTGAACAGCTAGGTTGCTTTTAAAGAACGACCGTTAAATGGAAATTGTACATTTACTTTATGCAAAGTTTATGGTGATTTATGCTAGTGACCGCAAAAGTTAGGTGTAAAGCAACAATCATTCATACAGTTAATGACCTGAGTACTTCAAGCCCGGTGCTAAAATACACGATCGCACGGGCCCACCCGGTGCGTTGCAGGCTGGGTTTTTATAGTAGGACTTTTTTTGAAAAATAAATTCCCCGAACTATTTCAGTATCTAAATTTTCCGGAGCAGGATGAAAGATAGGTCAGTTTTTCGGTTAAACAATTGTTCTAAAAGCATTGAATATCTTGAATAAAATCACCACAGCACTTTCTTATTAGATCAAAGGTGTTTCCCTTTTGTATGATTTTCCAGATTAATGCTATTTCAAAATTTAGAGCAAAATTTCCCCGCTTCAAATAATTTGTTACTTTCTATTTACGGATAAATGGGGAAATTTTTATAAATGAGCTGACTTTCAGAAATCGCTTAATGCATTCTGCGTCACTGCAACGCGATGTTCGCCATGGATCTATATCAGCCATTTACTGCATGGCGCATAGGCGACATTTTCGCACTCCATTAATTTTATCATTGATAGCTGCCCTACTGAATGTCCCGGCATTTTTTGAACTTGAATCTCACCTTTGTCGGCGCCAAGACGGCCGAAGTGGGTTTCAGGTGAATTTATATTCGCTTTTAATTCCGCGTTTTTTTTTTTTTTTTTTGCAAGACTGTTGAGCTTCTAAAGCACGTTACACAAAAGATAGGAAGGCGTGAAGCAGAATCTTTCCCTAATTAGGAAATTTCATGATAAACTTCCACCTTTTTCTGAATAATGGCTGCCTTAACAGGAAGGTGCAAATTGAAGAGACATATTTCTAGATGGGAATGATGAAAACTAGTGCATTTGACTTGTGAACGCACTTCAACAAAGTAATAGAGAACGTTGCAGTGATAGCGCAAGCCACGGTGCTGGAAGAACAAAAATAGTAAAAGACAGCTAGTTTCTCGTTTAATACAGAATTTTTGACAAAGATTGTAGACCTCAGACATGCGAATATAACCGCCATTTACTGCATTCTGCGCATTTTCCTTACATTTTTTAAACCTTACATGCTGTAGGGCTCGTAAAAAAGATTTTTTTTTTCTTAGCAATTTCCTCACTGTATTAAAAGTGAGGAACTTTGCTTGCTATGCTATTACAGCTGCAAATTTCAAAACTGCGCCTTAATCCGCATTATCAGATTTGGTATAAAGTGATTTTTCGTATGCTTATTACATCATTTGCGCCGAATTTAGTTGTTCTTTGTAAGTTTTTTCTCACGATTTCTTCTGTAATAGGTGTTTTCCATAATGCATAGCGGGCTGGCCTACAACTTGCAACTACTTAGGAGCTTAGAACCGAGCTACTGCAGCAAAGAGGAATACAGCGGTCTTGAACTTTTTTTTGTTTAGAAGCGGCATAGTTACAACTTTGAAAATTCGTGCCGATTCTCTAGGAACAAAGCATATTTTAACTGCCGTCCTAATGCATATTTATACCGTGATATGTTGAAAATCCATATTCGCACTCTTTCCTCAAATCTTGGCTCTGTCAGTTTGCCAAATGAGTTTCATCCATGAAAGCAATTTCAAAAGAGGGCAAAAACTCTAAGAAAGCCATACCCCAGTAACCCAGATTGAAAAATCCAAAAACCTTTTAGCACTGAAATTCTATTCTGATTAAAGCGCATGCATAAACTATGGGTTAAGAGGGACGGCTAGTGTAAATCTGTGATAAAGAATAGGAACAAAATGTTGGGAATGCGTTGGAAAAAAGTAAGAGAAGACAAATGAAATGGAGGAGTAATAAATGAGAGGAACTGGGCGATGTGTGGAGGGAAGGCATGAGAGCAAGCTTTTCTGGTTAAGGCATTTCGTTGTTTTGTTGTAAAAACAGTGATGAAAATTCATTTTCACTACTCTGAGTAACACTGCTTAATTAGCGGCAGTGGGGTGAAAAGTGGGGAGTTAAGAGCGAGATAATTTATTTGTTGTTGCGCATGCAGTTAAAAAAATATGGAAATCAAAAGATGGTGCACGTGTGTTTGTCTCGCTCGCTTCCTCTGTGTTTGTAGCCCAACTTTGTGAAGAAGTGGTGGTAATCTAAGTGTACCGAACCCCGTACTGACGCATCAGATCCCTATTCGGATTGGCCAGAGCTTGCCGAGGCTTGGATTTGCTGGGGAGTTCACGGGTTGAGCGTAGGCGAGCTCACCAAACGCCCCACAGTATTTTTAATCCCTGAACCACAAAATCGGCTTAGGTATGGTTCGAAAGGACATAGGTCAGGGTCTAAGTTGCTTTGTTTTTGCAGTTCTGTAAAATATGCTTTTCAAAAACGTTAGTCCCCTGCCTGCCGTAGCTTGGGCATCGAATTATCAAGGAAACAGAATGGCGTAAGGTAGAAGTCCTGATCCTTGTGCAGAACGAGGGTATGAAATCATTGCCTTAATATTTTGTGATATCTCTTTAGCTTTGTGATTTTCATTCACTTTGTGCTTATAATAGCTGCGCCCAGTAAGTGATGCAAGATGTTAATCATTCATTCTCATTTTGCCAAATTGTTTCGAACTAAAACCTAGCGAATTATATTGCAGTGATGACAGGCCTTACGCTGTATGTACTGAAAGGCACTCATCGTTCAAGGATGCAGCTGTTTGAAACTAGCAGTGCGCTATACGATCAGTACTCCTCAAAGTATGCCTAGTTTAAAGCTGTTGCTCTAACTCGGTTTTCAGACTGGTACTTCAGAACTGTCGTAAATTAGAGAGTTTACGACGTAAAACCTTGGGGCTGATGTGATTCACAGCACCGACCGTAACAACATCTTCAATTAGCTGCTACCTTTGTCCTGCTCAAACTAGCTAATGTAGTGTATCAAGTTTTAACTTTTTGAAATCTCTCAGTATAGAACAGGTCAATTACATTGTTTTGAACTACTAGTGGCTTCGTTTTGCCGGACTGTTTTTATGCGTTTTTGCACACGTGCAAATGCAAAAACGCATATTGTGGTAACCCCGTTTTGTGTGTTTGTGTGTATATTTGTGTCTGTAAGGTTTTTATGCATGTGTACCTATTTGTCTGTCAGCGCATTTTAACTCGACAACCAAGCAAGCTTCAGCGCTGAATTTTTCCATTGGGTTTCCTGGCCAAGCGTTGTCTCAGAAACGTGGTACCAACTTTCATGCACTTCTGAGTTTAAACAATACAGCTACTTAATGGATGGCAACATCGCGTAAGAAGGCAGCCAGATAAATGGACTACGTGTTTATTATGCGTGCGCTACAGTGCGCTAGTTCTTAACCGCCTCAAAAGCATGTGTCAGTCTAGCGGTGTGTTGGCTTGGACTCTATTAATACGCAACCTCACGTGAGGTGCAACAACTATGCCAAATTCAACTGTCTTGAATTACGTTTCTATGTTGCGTATATCAACTACACGCGGTACTTGGGCATGTGAGCATATGGCCGTAACTTAAAGGCGTTTGATGTAAGTCAGTGCGCATGGTTTCAGGCTGTATTCAGCTGATTGCAGAATTTTTCAAATTCTAAGCAATTTCGAACTTTGAAAGAGAAAAATTAAAGAGCTATAAAAATGCCTTTTTGCATAAAAAAAGTTTGATGAGATTTCAGGTTAGCAATGCAAAAAACTATATCAATGATTTCGCTGATGCTTGTAATAAAATATTTGCTATTTCGAACGCCTTCATTTTTTGTAAGTTGAAAAAAAGAAGTACATTACTGCCTATCGGCCAAATACCATTACGTGTAATGCGCAACTTCTGGACTGGTTTTAAATAAACTGAAAAAAGATAGAGAATGTTCGTTTCTGCTCAGTTTACAGGAACCCACGGAACTTTATTACCGTCAGCGTCAACAATCCCCTCTGGTTATCAAAGAGCAACATCGTTGGCCGTCTGTCAGCAAATGTTTGACAAAGCGTACTTTACTAGACTAGTTACGCGTTTTTGCAAAACGCATATTGTGACGACCCGGTGTGTGTATGTGTGTGTTTGTGTGTGCGTCCGGATATTTCAACTCGGCACCCAAGCATGCTCCGGCGCCAAAATTTTGCTGGCGGGTATCAACCCTCACGCAAGTCT